TTGGGGCTCCGGAGAGGAGGATCTTCGATCTTCGTCATCACCAACCCTCCTTCATCGCCAATTCCATGATGCTCCCCACAGGGAGTGAGTAATTCCTTCGTAGGCTCGCTGGTCAGTGAGGAGTTGGATGAGATTCATCATGTAATCGAGTTAGTTTTGTTAGGGCTTGATCCCTACTATCCATTATGTTCTGAGATTTATGTTGTTATGACTTTGCCATGCTTAATGCTTGTCACTTTGGGCCTGGGTGCCATGATTTTAGATCTGAACCGTTTATGTTTTCACCGTTATATCTATGTTCTAGATCTGATCTTGCAAGTCATGTTCACCTATTACGTGTTATGATCCGTAAACCCCGGAGTGACAATAGTCGGGATACTTTCCGGCGATGACCATAGTTTGAGGAGTTCATGTATTCACCATGTGTTAATGATTTGTTCCGATTCTCTATTAAAAGGATGCCTTAATATCCCTTAGTTTTCTTATGGACCCCGCTACCACGGGAGGGTAGGACAAAAGATGTCATACAAGTTCTTTCCATAAGCACGTATAACTATTTACGGAATATATGCCTACATTATATTTATGAACTGGAGCTAGTTTTGTATCGCCCTAGGTTATGACTATTATATGATGAATATCATCCAACGAATCCATCGATCCAATGCCTACGAATTTTCTACATATTGTTCTTGCTAAGTTACTACTGTTGTTGTTACTATTTCAACTATTACAAAATCATTGCTACCACTGTTACCGTTACTATTGTTGTTACTACTATTATCAAAACTACCATGGTACTTTGCTACTGATCACTTTGTTGCAGATAATTAATCTACAGGTGTGGTTGAATTGACAACTCAGCTGCTAATACTTGAAAATATATATTTTTGGCTCCCCTTATGTCGAATCTATAAATTTGGGTTGAATACTCTATCCTCGAAAACTGTTGTTATCCCCTATACTTGTGGGTTATCAACAAGCATAACATAGCATATCATAGGGGAGTTCATCATCACACGCATAGCTTAGGGGATTTTTTAGTACAAATTGTAATTAAACATAACCAAAATTTAAAAATCATAGCATAGATCTACTCATCGCTGGAGTTCTTGTCGAAGCCGCTGTCGCTGGGCGGGGGCTCGTTGCCATGGAGAGTGTTGTAGATCAACGTGGAGCAGAGAATGGCATGTAGCTGGAACTCCTCCAGGAGCGTCGACACGCGTGCGGCCGCAACTACATCTTCCGCTGCGGTGGCCTCCTTCGCGTGGAACCAAGCGAGCTTCGCCTCCCTACAGCGTTGCAGCGCCGGATCGAAGATGTCGCCGAGGCGGCAGAAGTTGGCCCAAGCCGAAGCACCGGCGCTGCAGGTCTTGGCGTCGCGCTTGCATACCGCCTCCCTCCAATAATCCTACACCTACGAAACAAGTTACGAAAGGCTACGTAAACTTCCCTTCGATAGTTCTCTTCGGCCCCCTGATTTTAAGTGGGGTGTGCCCGTCCTCCCCCCATCCTAATCACAATCTACCATGTGGCTAATTACGTAGCCTTTCGTTAACTCGTTCGTAGATGTAGCATTGTTCCGCCTCCCTCTGCCTGTCTGGCACGGGAGGGTGGAGGTCGGAGCCGCCTGCCTTGTCATCGTTTCTACTCTTGCGGGCGATGAAGCCGCTGCGAGTGTCGAACCCACTGCGGTACCCGAAGCCCCCACGGGCGTCGAAACCCCTATTGCCACCACGCCCCGCACCCGTTGTCGCCATGGCCACGAAGATCCGGTCGAGCAAACCACGGCAAAATGCTGCCAGAGGGGAAGGATTTGCGGCGGAGATGGAAAGGGGAGAAAGGGGACAGATACCCTAAATCGGCCGAGCGCCAGCATATATACCGGATGCGAAGGCGGTATATGGGTCGGGCCGTTTTTGCGGGATCTGCTCTGGCCGGATTTTTGGGTTGTCCCGTAAATCGACCAGAAAAGCGTAGTTCGCCGGCGTTTAAGGGATCTGCAAGAGATGCTCTAAGGCGTGGAGGAGAAGGGAATAGAATGAACTAGTAGTGGCATTTGGTGTGTATATAGTAATTTAGTGGGAGGGTAAAATCATCATTCGCCAATTTGAAGCCAGCTCCCGCTGCGAGAAGCCCGAAATGGCAGTTGTGGCTTCTGGGCCTATTTCGTGGAGCGCTCCGAATCATGGCTGCTTGGAGCCGGTTTGTTTGGGCTCCGGCTTTTAGGGATTGTCTGGATGGAGCCCTAATAGGCAGGTCCTTACTCTGGCAACGATCCTGGCCTCGAGCCTACAAAATCCAACGCCTAGGATTGGTGCCCGAGTGACAGGTTTTTATGGAAGCCAACCAAACAGCCCCTAGAAGCTGGTGGAGCCGTTGTTTGAAGACCAAACGAACACACCCGGGTTGTTGGTGAAAACCGGAAGGTTGGAGTTAGGCTAGCTATAGTGGGGGTAACTTAGATAGTAACTTAACACATCCCAAGATAATTTTGCTTATGTGACAATTATTTAATGAGGAGAGAGGTGCTTGAAGTAACATAATATGTTACTGTAACATAGCGACTCCTGAGGTAAAATGAGTCTATAAGGCAATAAATGAAACAAACTATGACACTACTACTAAGATACTTTGCACTACGGAGGGAGTAACTTAGACTAGTGTCATACATATGACACTAGTCTAAGTTACTTCCCACTATGACCAGCCTTAGAGATTGCTGGTGCATGTTGGTGTGTTCGCCGCATGACAATTGGGAAACGATTCTAGAGGCAATCCAATGGCGCGGGGGCGCTTGAATCTGACGGCCACGTGGCGACCAGCCGGAATTTGGGCCTAGCGTTGGCCAGCTCGTCATGCTTTATTATTCTTTCCTCTGTCCTTTTGGGTGCTATATATATGACGCCGCGCGTGTTGTCATAGAGGAGGTGCCCTTTATGTAAGTCGTTGATCTCTGCCGCCCGTTTCCTATCCTAGACCGAGGGAGAATCCGTTTCCCACAAGCAGCCGCAAGAGAAAACGCGACCAGCCTTCCGGCGACGCCGGGGATCACGCATACAACCAACGATGTCCCAACTATACGCTGCCCTGGTCGACGCCCGTGCGTGCTGCGGAAACGCCTCGTGCCGTCGTCGTCAAGACGTCAACGCAGCACGGGCACAAAAGCTTCCAGAAAGGAAAGGACGGGGGGATCAAAAGCAGCCACCAGCCCTCCTACGGCGACCTACCTTTCGTCCTCACACCGCTGCGTGGTACTCTTTCAAACTAAAACCACGACGAGTAATTTGGAACAGAGAGAGTACATGTAAATGAACCATAAACGAACATGTGATCACATCATCAGCAACGCGCGCATCAAGAAACTCTTCACGGTCAAATCAAAAGAAACGGGAGCTCCTCCGAGTCTCCCACCCCACGCAGCACGCCTCAGAATTCCTCCAGGCTCCCTGCACCCCACCAATTTTCTCATCTCAGTGCCAGGACAATGGCCGCTGAGTCGCTGACCCTGATGGCTCCATCAGCATGACACCTTCCAGAAGCGAAGACGACTCCATTGGCGCAACCGGCTTTCCCAACCAGGAAGAGCGGCTCATTCATATACACTTGTCAAACAGCTGATCACATAATGAGCCGCCCCTCGTCGGTTCATCATCAGCGACGACAGCGACGGCCCAAAATTGATGTGGACACTACACATAAGTGCCCACACACAGTGCCAACAAACATCCGCAAGGGGCAAAACATGCTTAATGCCAATATATTACAAAAGAATATGACTACTATACGTATTCGGGCAATACCTTACACTGGCCTACATATGCAAACTCGTTAATCTGGTATGAACACCATGAAGAATATATATATATATATATATAGTATGGGTGTAGAAAAATATACACGCAGGCACCGGGAAGACGGGGCCGCTGCAGCCAAACTACAAAATGAGCCGGACAAGGCACAGCTACTACTTACTGCAACTTAAAAAGGGCTAATGTCGCGAGCATCACTTATTTTGCACCATCATCATCTATTCATCTCGAGAGACGATATCTCGACAGCCTGGAAGCATGAAAGGAGGAGGAGGTGTCACCAAAAAATGGACGTCTCAACCAAACGTTGATCGAAGCAGATAATAAAACAAGGCGTGTGATATGTATGTTCTTATTGCTGTTGACATTAATGTACGAAATATGTATAATTTCATCAGAAGTTTGTCCCTACATGCAACCACCACAATGCCTGGGCTACTTATGCTTATTGCCGTCTGCATCATATGAAATAATGTTTATTGTTCTCAGAGTTTGTTTTCTTATCCAACTACCACGATGCATGCGCTACTAATGTTTATAGTCGTTGAGATTATTCGAAATAATATTTATTGCACTTTGATGTATGTTTTCATGCCTAACTATGATGATACATTAGAAGAAGAAAAATCAGATAACACACTGAGATTGATTGAATTGACTTCACAAAGAAAAGTAGGGCTGTTTTGGGGGTTGCTACACAAAAGATACAGACGATCGACTCAGTATGAGTAATTCATAAGAAACTTCAAAGCTGGACCAAAGAAAAATCAGATAAAGTGGGTAACTAACTAAGTTCTACAGGAAAATCAGATAAAGTAGGTGTAGATGATCGAACGAAGTTCTGCTACTAAGCCACATTCAATGTGGAGTAAAGGAAATCTGGATTCATAACAAGAAGAGATATGTCTATTGATCTCCTCAAACCATTTCTTCAACCCCATAAAGGGTGGACCATGTCAAAAGGAATTTGGGCAGTGGACATTCTACAACCACCAAATTTTAACCCACCAGGTATTCAAACTAAAGGGTGAACTCTGTCAAAATGACTAAGCGTGTTGAGAATGCAACTAGGAAACCATGGCTTGATAAAAAAATACGGAGTACTAGTAAGATAACTTCAATTCACGCAAAAGATTAATTATTCTTTCACAATAAAGAATGAACATACGAATGTGCATTACCTTGTCTCTATCTGTTGCCATTTCTTTTGCAATATTCTCCACATTTATGATACGGATTGGATGCATTGACACAATCAGGATTGATTTCTTCCGTTGGCTCTGCTTTCATGACAGCCTTTCCCTTTCTTGAGTCTGAAGATAAACAGATACACAGAAAACCATAAATATGGTTGTCAAGGTGGACCTTAAACCAAAGCCTCACATCCATGCATACATACACTGCTAGCAGGTACAGGTGACTAAAAGAACGCACCTGGCTTGCTTGTAGGTGTTGATGGCGCTTCGTTCAAATGATCGAAACAGTACTGGGCGCATATATGGAATGGGTTGCCCGCATTTGGGCACCTCGGATCGACCTTCCAATTTTGCACCACGGCGCCATCCTTCCCACCTGCAAGGGCACTGGTGTCAGTTACAACAATAAAGCCCCAAAATGTGACGATTAAACAGAACTTAATTGAGCATCTGCAGCTAGAAAGAATGAAATCTCATACGAGAATCACCAGAACTGTTATTGAAATATAGACATTATAATTCAGCATGCCATTGCAATCCCACTGATCCCACAAATTAAGACAAAGCAAATCCATATGAGTAGAGGAAGCCCGGTACTAGTAGTATATTTGTTCTACCTTTCTTGCGCGGCGACTTCTTATCGGCTTTCTTCTGCTTCTCCAGTTCCTTCATCTTGACGGTACAATGCTCTCCACATTCATGAAAAGGGTTGCCGGCATTCGGGCACTTTGGATCCGCCTTCTTGCTGCCCCCGGACTTGACGCTGCCATCTGCACGCAATCAACCGAGAGATCATGGTAAATATGAGCACCGAAGTGCATCAACTCGAGATGACAACTAGCACATACGTAGATGCAAGGAGGGCAGGAGCAAGTGAAGCAAAGGAACAACCTTCCGAGGAGGAGGTGGAGCGGCCGGAGTGGCGGGAGAAGAGGGAAATGGGGGATTTGCCACCCTCCGACGAGCGGCCGCCCTCGACCATCTTGGCGAGGCAGTGGTTGGTGCAGACGTGGAACGGGTTGGCCGCGTTGGGGCACCGGGGATCCACCTTCTTGCCTTCCCCGTCCGAGGAGCCTTCACGCACTGCAGCGGTAGCATGAGAACAAAAAAATCAGTTTTTTATCGTTCGCAATTGGTCAATTTCATACTACTACTACTCCTACTAGATATGAACAGTACTGCTTCTACGACAACTATCTATGATTAAGAATTTGGGGACGGACAGGGAAGGGGAGAGAGGGGTTGGTTGCTCACGGAAGACATAGAGGGGGAGGCCGCCGGCGGAGCCGCCGGCCCTGTCGCGGCGGCGCGTCCTGGGCTGCAGGTCGCCGTCGCTGTGCGTCCTCCCGTTCTGGCCCCCGAGGCCCGGCGGCACCGGGGGCGACTTCACCGCCGGGGGCGCGACGGGGCAGTACTCGGCGCAGCGGTGGAAGGGGTTGGCGGCGTTGGGGCAGGCCGGGTTGACCGCCCGCCCTCTGGCGTCCTCGGTCATCCTAAACCGGCCAGCGGCAGCCACCCACAACCTCCTCCGGCAAGAACCTCCTCCGCCTCCGCTAGAGCAGCAGGATTCTTGACGCGTACCCAAGAAGACGCCGCAGGTAATCTAAAGGGCGGGGTTTGAGGCCGGAACCGCGGCGAGGGGGAGGAGGAGGACTCGAGCGGCTTGGCTTCCTTTTGTGCTGGAACTTGGACCGGAGACGAGGGAAGATTAAACGGACGGAGGGGGGGTGGATTAGGAGGCCGAAGGGGTCCAATCTGGTGTGGTAGTGGTAGCTGCGGTCCAACCTGATGGTCCGTTTCCACGTCTCTTTCTTCCCGGCTCCTGCTCCTTCTTCCTCGTCGTCGTCGTGGTGTTCCCTTTTCTTTTCTGCTTAGCTTTGTCATCGTGTTACCACTGTCAAGCTTGGCTACAAAACAAGAAGAAAAGAAAAGGAACCACCTCATCTGACCTCACGGTGGACCAACTGCCCTGGTTGATGTGTGAATGTGTGATCTAGGGATTTTGCATGGATTTTGCCTTCTCAAAGACTTGGCAATACCAACCTCAGTTCAGTACTGTGGTGGCTACCTAAAATGCCATATCTACTAGTTTAAAATTTCATCAGAATAAAAATCAAGAATTTTTAGAAGAATTGGTAGAGTATAGTGGCTAAAAACATGTGATCCAATGAAGAGTCACATGTTATGTTGTTATTATAACCAACTACATCACGTGTAATGTGCGATAAAATCACACTAACCCTACTATTCGAAAGTCACGGTGTGAGAATGACATGAACAAATCATCTTCATCATCTCAATCCGCACAAAACTTTCCAGGAAAATTACAATTCTCGACAGGTCACTGCATGTCCTTATCTGTTGTAGAGTAATGACGACGACAAGTTGGGGTGTGTGGACAAGCTCCATGGAGTTGCCTGTTATTTTTCAAATTTTGAAATTATAATTGAAAGTCTTGGAAAAGAGTCTTGAATGTTTTTCTTTTCTATCCACGTGGTTCTAGATTGACCGAATTCCACTATCAAGAATGATAATCGAAAAACAAAATATAACTCGCATGTAAATGATGTGCTCTACATGCATGTCCATATTTTGTACTCCGTATTAATGAATGTTTTCATTTCTAGGTACATAAAATACAAATATGTGGATCTCATGTTACCAATCCACATTTTTGTAGCCTAACTATTGGAATATTTCTTCATGAGACATTGTAAATGTGCGTCTTTCATCTAAATGTACAAATGGAAACAAAACTGGATTTGATTAAAAAAACAAATTTAGAGCTTACGGGTACTTTTAAGAATGTTTTTTCAGAATTTCAAAAAAAAAGACTGTTTTTTCAGATTTTTTAATGCGGCCGTTGGTAGCTTTTGCCGATCGAGCACTATTGAATGAAAACGTTGTACGATCTTACTTGAACAGTATTTGTACTATAGGATCATACAGTTGCATCCTTAAGGAATGAAAGCGTGGTGAGGTGTAACAACATCACGACTGGCCAAAAGTCAGATTTTGTACTAGTTTTAATCATAGTAGTTAATTGCCAGTTTGTTGTAACGACACTTATTTTAGTGGTTCAGCATCAATCTTGTCCCATATATGCCTTATATCAAATTTGCTAACATTTAATTTGACAGAAATATGGGTAAGGAAGACAAAAAAGTTTTGATTTAGTTGAGATATGATAAAATTGTTTTGATTTCATTGAGTTAATGCAGGATGTGGTTTTGAAAAACTATCGATTTGGTTTAAATTATTCTAAATTAATATATTTATGTTGGTCTTTTTTTGTACGACATTGATTGGAGTTACCAAAAATATCAATCCCTACTCCTAAAGAGGACCGGTAGCTTCCCATCACGGCTTATTTTCGCCTCACTTCCCATCATCATTCATTTCGTCTGGTTTATTTTCATCTCACCTCCCACCACCCCCTCTTACTGGTTTATCTTCGCCTTACCTCCCACTACCCTCCCCCACTGGTTATTTTCGTCTCACCTCCCACTACCCATCACACTGGATTTTTAGTGAACAACTAGAAGAACGCCTGTGCGTTGCAGCGGGGCCACATTAACTTTAAGAGTTCAATATTAATCAAGTTAATACTACATTTAATGTTTTCATTCATATCAAGTGACATTAGCGATCTTTTTTACCATTAAATCCTCACACACACACACACACTCCCTCCCTCTTCCTCGCTCCCCCTTCTCTCTCTCTCTCTCTAACACACACACATATCCATCTTATTGGGTACGAGATGTAGAAGTTAATTGTTTCCTTTGTTTGGAGATTGATTACCATCCGTGAGTTAAGCTGAGTACTAAAGAAGAATCTGATTGTGATACGTGAATTGATTGTTGCCTTGTACATTTGGTTTTCGTATTTAAAGATTGATTACCATTCGTTAGTTGGGTTACCAAAGAAGAAATCAATCACCATATGTGAATTCATTGTGTTACCAAATAAATGTTGTGTTTGTCCGGCCAGTGGGAGGGGGGCGAATAAAAGCCCGACGAAAAAAAAACGACGAAACTTGGAGGTGGGATCGTTACTGCGGGGGAATTGGGAGGTGGGAGGGAGGACGAAAAAAACCAGGGGAGGTGAAATGAAAATTAACCGCGGAGACTACCAACTGAGGCATTAGAAGTAGAGATAACGTACAAATTCACTCTTTCTTGCAAATCAGCACTTTTCTAACGTACAAAAAATCACATATCTAACTTTACTAATTTACCCAAATCAATTGTCAGACCCTCCTCAATGCAATTTGCAATTTACTTTAGGAAACAAATAAGGGATTTTAAGAAAATAAATAACATACAAATCTTCTCTTTCCTAGCAAATCAGCATTTTCCTAATGTATACTAACTTTCTTAACTTATCCAAATCAACAGTGCAATTTGCTTTAGAAACAAATAACGGATATTAAGAAAATAAATAACAAATTTGAATGAAACTGACATGTAAATCATGATGCGACTTGATAGCTTTCTCTTCACGGTTTTTGTCGCCTCACCTCCCACCACCACCCATTTTGTGTGGTTTATTTTTACCGCATTTTCCATCACCCCCTCTCACCGGTTTATTTTTGCCTCACATCCCACCACCGCTCCCACTGGTTTATTTTTGTTTCACCTCCCACTAACCCGTCCCAATGGATTTTAAGGAAACAATAATGTACAAATCCACTCTTTGCTTGCAAATCAGCATTTTCCTAACATACAAAAAATCACGCATCTAACTTTCGTAATTTACCCAAATCAACCAAACCTCTATCAATGCAATTTACTTTAGGAAACAAATAACGTACAAATTCACTCTTTCTTAGCAAATCAACATTTTCTTGACGTACAAAAGATCACGGATGTAACTTTCTTAACTTATTCAAATCAATTGGTTCATCTCATCAATGCAATTTGCTTTAGAAAACAAATAATGGATATCAAGAAAAAGAATAACGGATTTGACGTAAACTAACATGTAAATCATGATGCATCGTACACCATAGAAAACAATCTCTATTCCTAAAGGGGGCTTTAGTTTCTTCTCCATGGTTTTTTTCACCTCACCTCCTACTACCAACCATTTCGTCTGGTTTATTTTGCCTCACTTCCCATCACCAACTCTCATTGGTTATCTTTCCTTGCAAATCAGCACTTTCCTAATATACAAAAGATCAATGATATAACTTTTCTAATTTACCCAAATCAACCAATCCATTCATCCCATCGATGCAATTTGCTTTAGGAAAGAAATAATAGATTTTAAGAAAACAACTAACGTACAAATCCACTCTTTTATCCCTTCACCTCATCAAGTCCGCCGAGGACGCCGCTGTTGCCGTCGCCGCAGCTTCTGCCTGGCCTACTGGAGGGTATAACTCGTTTATCCCGCTCCTACTGTTTTCTGTTATAGCCATGCTAGCGTTATACGTAGATGTGTCTGTCATTAGCGTAGTATGTGCTTGTGTGATCCAATATCAGTATGTTATTAATTTTGTCAATGTCATGCTAGTGTTTTATTCCTGGATTAAATTAATCGGAAAATTGCCTTTTTTGAAATAAAACCGAACTTTATTCATTAGAGATAACCGTTACATCGTTTGTGAAGATCATTACAATTTCATTTAGAGGCTCCTCAAAATAGTCTGAAGTCAAAGAAATTCCAGCTAATCTAGCAAGTTCATGAGCTACTTTATTTGCCTCTCTATAACAACGTTCGAATCTAGTCATGACAAGATCACATGCATAGTGAAAGTAGTCCTTGAAAATTGCCGCCGCCGCACCCGCTGATTGTCCTCCGTCCTGCATAGTCTCTATCACCTCCAGGTTGTCTGAATTGATGATTATGCGATTCCACCCCGCCCTTTGCGCCAGTGTTAGGTCAAATTTGAGTGCTAAAGCTTCAGCCATCAGAACATCCGCACATTAGTCAATTTTTCCATTTCCTCCTGCAATAAACCTACCTGAGATGATGCATTTACAAAATTGGATATGAGGGCTATGATCCCCATTGATATCTGATTTGCATTATGAGTTAATTCCTTGTGCACTAACTACGTTCACGTGACAGGAGACCATGGCGGGAGCTAAAAGTTCTCTCCCGCCAACCGTTTCTTATTTTAGGGGTCTTTGTAAAAAAGAGGGATCCCATAGATATAGTGGAACAAAATTAAAATTAGCGGACGGCCGATTTTGCAGGATATACTCAGGCGGAATAGACGAGCTCGTCTGATGGCCTTTTTTGCGGGATATGCTAGAGATGCTTCCAAAGATAGAGATTTCAGAAGAAAAAAAAACAATGACGAGGGTATCATCATCACCATCGAGACCACCGCCATGGCCGGTGGCACCTACGTAATCCGGAATTAAGCAACCTTTAATTCTTCGCCGAAACAGCTGAAGCTTCCCTTCCTCTGCACGCTTTCGTCCCTCAATCCCGCGCTGCGTTGGTGGCTTGCAGTCGCATGGCGCGAGCGAGCGAGCGAGCGAGTGCGATCTTCAATCTGCGCCCTTTCCGTCCGTCGCCCGCCCCCACCCTGACCTGCCTGCACGCACTCGATGACGCAGCTGACATGCGCTCTGACATCCCCGTTGTACGTTGTGGGGATCCTTTTCCCGTTACGGACCGACCGACCGATCGATCGATCACAGCCGTCGGTGGCACCACGACCCCGTCTGGACGAAACGGTCGAACTGGTACGACCCCCCGTCCGAGACCGTAAGCCGTTCGATCAGCCCTAACAACCGCGGTCTGGTAGGTTACCGGTAAAAGTGGAATTAATAAAAGACCAGGTAGTAGTACGTGTACTACTAGCACACCGAACCGCTTTATGCACGGTCGCACGGCTGCGTCCGTGTAACTTGTGTCTCTGGTTC